GCAGGTGTTAGTATCAGTAAGAAACCAATCAACATTTAATAGATTGTCTGGGTGTCAAGTTGGAGCAGGTGTTAGTATCAGTAAGAAACCAATCAACATTTAATAGATTCAGCCAGAACCAATTGCAAATTAAGCCACTGGAATCCTAGATATCACAAAGTTTCCAGAAACACTTAAATTGGTATTAAAAGCTCAGCTAAAGCCATATTGCAAGATATGTTCAATTACAGAATCTTCATACATTGAAACTGCTGTTTAAACTTTATACAAACAAACTTACCATATAGAGAATGATTTCCCACATTAAATTAAATAATTACAGGATCATACAACAGGTTCCAATAATGTCTCAATATCAATTAATGGTTACTGCTTTCAATTTTCAATTCTTGGTAATAGTGATAGATATTGTGTGTCACCTCACATAACTTTTTGAACATGTGGCTGAATTTGGAATCTTGGGCTCAATTAGGGTATTGAGACATTATCTCATGTGTCAGATCAACCTCTCCATCTGTAGTTGTTTCGTTGATATCTCATTATTTTAACAATACAGATACATTTTCTATAGAATTAAACTCGAGATGAAGAAGTGTCACTACTTTTAAGTAATTAATTTGTACAAGGTTTTCACTCAATACTTAAAACTTACACTCTTAAGAGACTGTAACAAATTGGGATATATTCATCAGATAAATAAATGTTTTCTTCATCAAGTTCAATTAATATATGAAGCTGAGTAAAGTATCAGCAAGTTGACACCAGTAACAACACTTATATGCTCAATATACTCCGCAGTAGTTGTTTTTACATCCTGTTGTATACCCTTATTTTATGTATGAGACAACCACTACCATGTAAACACCAATCATCCCACACATGATTGTCTTACTAGTACAGATAAGGCATGGTGTTATAGCGTGGTGTATAACTGAAAGTAATGGTCATCAGTCATATTATATTTTGTTTAGGTACTAGAGAGGTGAAGATCAACAGTCATATTTTACTTTGTATGAGTGCAAGAACTACAAGAAAGGTGAAGGTCATCAGTCACACAGCTGGTATAAGAAAGGTGAAGGTCAACAGTCATTTTTTTTTTGTATATGTACTAGAAAAGTGAAGGTCATCAGTAATACAGCTTGTATAAGAAAGGTGAAGGTCAACAGTCTATATTTTTTTGTATATGTACTAGAAAGGTGAAGGTCATCAGTCACACAGCTGGTATAAGAAAGGTGAAGGTCAACAGTCTAAAAATAAATTGTATATGTACTAGAAAGGTGAAGGTCATCAGTCATAGAGCTGGTATAAGAATGGTGAAGGTCAACAGTCTAATTTTTAAGAATATGTACTAGAAAGGTGAAGGTCATCAGTCATACAGCTGGTATAAGAATGGTGAAGGTCAACAGTCTTATTTTATTTTGTATATGTACTAGAAAGGTGAAGGTCACCAGTCATATTTAACTTTTATAGGAATAAGAAATGTGACGGTCGACAGTCGTATTATATTTTGTATAAGTATTATTAATATGGATGTAATCAAAAATATCAAAACAGGTAATATAAAGGTCAAACTTTTATGTTTATAATTATCAAAGGTGTTAACAGTTAATATTTATAAGCTACAAAAATAGTGTTGATGACGTGGTCATGAATTAATGAAGACAATGGCAACTGAAAATGTCAGTGAAGTGAAGATACTTAAAATTATGAAGTATTATTAATTTAAGTTTTATGCCTGCATTATACAGAAAAATGTACAAAACGTGAGGGTTCAATGTAACAGCCGCTCAGCAAAGTACTTGTGATTCATTCAGCGGGAGGAAATGATAAGAGCTGAGAAAGTATACCAAACTAAAATCCCTTTATCACTCACCAAAAATTGTGTCTGTATGATTATAAAACCATTACCATTATAATAAACACTGAGACACCCATTACCAGACCTGTAAGGCATTTCAACTTTAAAATGTATGAAGTTTTCTTTTCAATATTTTGATTCAGATTCCATATTTTGATATCTTGCAAATACTTCGTACACAATTTTTCATGCAGTAGTCACTCAAAAACAGGTAAAATTGTTAATCACTTTATTTTCAAAAGTGAATTATAATATATAAATTATTGATGTAGGTTTAATTGGTGAATACATGAATCTCCAATTTACAGGACACAAATTCATTCTATTTATAGTTATTAACTGTGTTGTGGAAGTTGTAATTTCATGAAAGATTTAAAATTGTGCATCATTCTCCTGTTAATTCAACGCTAAAATAAATGCTTTGCTTGAAACAAATGAAGTGATATACAGCAATTAGTCCAAAGACAATACCATATGAATTGTTCATTTCCAACTGAAATATTTTGGCAGAGCCAAGTCATCAAATCATATGAGTAATGCTTCATCATAAATAAATTCTTTGTTAAATAAACTAGAACACTGACAGGTCAGTAAGGGCCCCGCCTTGTGGCAATATATCCCCCATAATCATCAAGAAGCAATCTGCCCATATAGCTGAGCTTGACGTTTGATATTTGGACTTCAAAAAGAATCGCAAGGAAGCAAAATATACATTTTACATGTACTATGATGTGAGTCTTGTTTCCTTCCACCTACATATTTGCTGGGCTAACAGAAATGTAAATACTGGTGCAATACTCATTTGTTAGCTTTGATTTGTTTTATTTCACCTTATATACCTCCTCCATCATGAGCCAGGGTCAAAGTCAGAGATCCACTTTGTCTTTGAACTTTGGACCAAAATGACCTTGACTATTAACCAAGTGACCCTGATCTTTGGTCAGTTGTCTTATTCTTTAATGCCGACCAACTTTGCTTCTTAATATCATAACAAAATGTTCGTCAGTAAAAAATACAAAACTTGACCTTGACCCTTTGGACCCCATAACCTGGACCTAAGGTCAGTTGACTCTGTGTTAAGTTCTGAACAACATTGCTTCATAATGTCACAACAAAATTTTCATCAGGGAAAAGGTACAAAATTTAAACTTCACCTTTGACACAGTGACCTTGACCTTTGGTCAATTGACTCCTTGTTTAATTCTGAGCTACATTGCTTCAAAGTGTCATAGCAAAATGTTCACCAGTGAAAAAATACAAAATGTAACCTTGACCTTTGACCCAATGACCTTGACCTTTGGTCAATTGACTCCTTGTTTCATTCTGATTAACTTTGCTTCATCATGTCATAACAAAATGTTCATCAGTGAAAAGATGCAAAATTTGACCTTGTACATCGGTCAATAAATACCAAAGTTATCAGCCAGGAACAAAATTTGTGGACGGACAGACAGACAGACAGACAGACAGAGTGATTACTATAGGGCACCCGTATCTCCGATATGGGGCCCTAATTACATTTCAACACCTATAGTGACAAAATGGAAGGAAATTCAATGTAGCTTTAATATGAAGAAAACACAATTTTTAACAGTGTTCCATGTTCATACTGACAAACTGTTGGTACATAGTCCTGTGATTAACTAACACCGTTCATTATAGTGCATGGCTCTACTTTATAATTTGAATTTAACCTGTTTTACAGCATGCTATTATATTAGAAAAGCCTGAAGCAATACCTATAACTACAGTTTAGTAATGGTGAAACATCCCATTATACACTACACAATGGTGAAACATCCCATTATACACTACACAATGGTGAAACATCCCATTATACAACAACAGACAGAGGGCCTGTATCACTCACCCAAACACTCAAGAAATTGTGTCAAAATGTTCTCATTTAAAATGATATTGCAACTATCTCTCCATTTCAGGCTCAGTCTCTTCTGATTCAAATTAAGGATACTTCATAGCAAAGGTTGAGATGCAAATAAATATCTGACATATATGGTACACAATGCAGGCTAGACCCAAGGTTTCAAGGGGGGAATTCTATAGATAAACAACATTGTAAGACTTTTATAGATAAACAACATTGTAAGACTTTTAAGCACATTGGAGAAATCTACCTGTCGGATCTCTTCGGCAAATATGCTGAACACCCACACCATCAGGATAATCTCTTGTATCGACACGTCCTTCGACATTTTAATCAGTAAAACATAACTGAACAGGCCGAGGAAGGTCAGGTACGACAGCTGTAACATAATTAACACAATGATCAGAAAACCAACAAAACACCCATGAGTACATGTACATACTGAATAATCTTACCCAAAATCGCAGGTGTTAAGTTTGAATCAGGCAGACTCAAACCAACCAATTATTATCCAGATTATGATTTATTGTTACCCTAAAAGTAAGGAATCTGAATATTTTTAATTTTATATAAGTAACAAAGTAAACATGATATAGCAAGTGATTTCTATTTTTATTTATAAAGAATATATATATCCTAACTGACATTGTAGTATGACCTTCACAAATTATTTCAAACACACTTATATGATTTTCTAGAGTTTTTATCTCATATGAGATTCATGAACTAAGTCTAGAAGTTATCATTTTATTTTGGCTCTGACGAGCTCAAACGAGAGAACTTTCATCAATTTCACAGAAAAAATATTTGTTTTACCACATTTCAAGTAACACACTTAAAATCTGCATCTTTTAGCTGTTAACTAATTTCTAATTGGCATTTTAAAAATTGTAGACCATTTCTGTTTTATCAGTACATATACCTTAATAATTTGAAGTAAGAAATGGAGAAATTATCATACTTACGACATTGTATACAAATATAATGACAGGGGATGTGTAGAAGAGGTAAAACTTCTGTAGAATGTTATACTTTCGTGGTTGGTTTTTGTTGGCATTTTCTGCCTCCGCTCTGTAATCAAGAACAACAGAAACTGACTGTAATCACTACATGTATCAGCTGCATGTTTCCATTTTGAAGATTTCATTGGAATTGTATTGAGGAAACGTTGGTTCAGTAATCTGTTTAAATATCACTATATATTCAACAATATTACCTAGGTTTACAACTAAAATTGTCATACAAAGGCTGTTTCTTTATGAAGATAGTTTCTTTGAATGCAGATCTTAAAAAGTTGATGATATAAAAATGTATTAGAGATAAGAAGCTATATTAACACTTACAGAAAATGTACACATTCGCCATCAACATTATATTGTAAACACTGACATAAACATGTCATTTGAAGCGTCCTTTGTACAAAGTTAGGCAATCAATGTTGTGTAAAGAAAGGGTGTTGTCTCCCTTGGTATTGCGAGTCAAAGTAAAACAACAATGTTTTACACAGTTGGGGAGTTAAAACTTAAATAGTTTATATGTTTAACAGTATATGTATCCTAAGAAGTAAGATAGCATAAAAAGGCAAACATTTGAGTGAAATATGATCAATTGGTCAAGTGGAGTAGACTAAGGTTACATTCGCGTATCCTGGTTGAAATGGTACAGGTGGCACAGAAATTTTCCATGATAAACGGACGCACTCGGACCGTTCTATAAGCAGAGCTAAAAATGCACAGTTTAGGAGAATAAAAAAACAATGTATTAAGAATATTATGCCCTTCTATCATCCGTCAACTGAATTACATAATGTATCTTAAAAAACACATGTGGCTTGACATTGTTTTAGAAAAAACTAACGCAAACTAGCAATAGTCAGCATTTTAGTTTTGGTCAGGTACGTCTGGACCCCTCAATCTACACATGCCGAATATTCCTGAGGTCAGCCTCGGTTCAGACCTGTGTCTCCTAAGAGTTAAACATGATTTACATTCAGAAACTATAATCGAGAGACATTTTGTATTTTGTATGTCATTAATCTATAAAAACTTTCTTATTTTGATTACATTCATTTTGTTATCTATTTTTTTTGAGAACAAAAGCGACACCAATAATTAACTGAAGAATGGTGACCTCTTAATGTATTTTCACGCTATCATTCCTATAAGCTTTATTTAAATTTAAGGATTGTTACAGGAAATAATTTACTTAGTCATTTCAGCTGGTTTGAGGTGGAGCATAGTCTGTGCACGGGAAAACAAAGGCTGAGTTTGTCGACGAGTCAGTACTTTCTCTCCATCCTGAAGTTTAAAAGAACAAACACCATCAAACAATCATACAGCATAACTTCTACAGACGATCTCAACAGACAAACTCATCTTTTTTGTTAAAAAGGGTTGTTTCCCCCCTCCAATTTTAAGTCTGCATTGTGGCTTTATCATCAGTAAATTCTAATTATGTCTTGAAATCTAAATCTTATGTAAGGGTAATATTACACAGTTGTGCTGCTTTGCAAAGTATACCTTGTTTTTAATATGATTCTTCACATTAATTATATCAAATTAACAACAATAATAAGGTATGTTCTGTATTTTTGTAGTTCAACAAGTATCAGAACAATATGAAATTTTCTCTATTATTTTGCCATCATTATCAGGAATGTACATCAGTATAAAATTCTTGTATTCTCATATATCAAAGCATAATATCACGAGAAATGAAAACTGACAGCTGCATACTTGCCACCTTTTCGAAATTTCCATAGGAGAGATTACACATGCTCAGAATTAAAAACATAAATAATGTGTGTGTATGTACACCATAGGAAAAAATAACTCTTTTAAATGATATCTTTTGAGCTGTTCTCACATATGAAATCATCATATCTTAGAAAATAAGTATAGTTTAGCAAATTCACTGGTTGAAAATGCTCAATTTTCAGGTCCAAAATCAGGAGTCTCCCTCCTAAATAGGAAGAGTTGGCAAAAATGAAGCTGCAGTTTATCCCACTTCAATGGGTTTCTCAATTTTTGAGATTGTGAACAAAAAATATAAACTGATTTTCAAAATTCTTAGATCACTTTATAATTATAACATCCAGTTCTAAGCAAATCTTATAAACATAGCCCTACACCAGTGATCACCAGTGATCACCAGACACCTACCTTTACTTGTGAGTCAGTTTGGCTATTGCTGGTGGGCGAGTTATTAGGGTCGTCTACATCTTTATATTTCATAAAAATAAGCAGCAGTGGTGGAAACAGCACACAGGCCAGCATCTGTGACATATAATAAAATAGGGTGTCCAAACGGAAAAGGAGAGACCCGACGTCCTGGTTAGTCGAAACATGTAAACCGTGGATAAAATATAAAATCTAGATGTTAATGCCTCGTCTTCTATATTCTTTGTAATACAACTGTACCATAATTTCACTGTTTTATGTTCAGAAACATTCTGTTCACTTTGAAACAAAATTTCAAAAATCTTTGGAACATGAAAATAACATTCATTTAAGAACATCAGTCTGTATAGTAATTTGCAAGAAGCATTTCGTAGTAATATTTAATATGTTCTATGAAATATTTTATATAAAACCTTCAGTAACGTAACTGACATTTACACTTTATTAATATGTTTATATGTACATACACTGATGATTACACTTTATTAATATGTTTATATGTACATACACTGACGATTACACCTTATTAATATGTTTATATGTACAGTGACTGACGATTACACCTTATTAATATGTTTATATGTACATACACTGACGATTACACCTTATTAATATGTTTGTATGTACACACACTGACGATTACACCTTATTAATATGTTTATATGTACATACACTGATAGTGCCGTTGTCAAGTGAGAGTTTCCCCATCCAAACACTGTTGAGAAGGGATTGGCAGGCGGTCTGAGAGATAAACTGTTTGTTGTCCGTTTCCACGGCGATGAGGACACAGGTGGCACTGCCCCAGTGCTCCAGTTCTCGGACGAGGAGATCCTGGGCCTTGCTTTCGTCTAACTCATAGCACTCATTCAGCACGTTCACCGACAGATCGCAAAACTCACTACACAGCAGTGAATAGGAACATAGGTTAACATGTTAAATCAGGCCACTTTATCATCAGGAACTATACTAACGACGTGATATTCAACTCTCCTAATATACATTTTATAATGTTTACATGTTACGCCAATTTTAAATCACAAACGCTTATAAAAAAACAACATTTACACAACTTTTTTACTGAATATTTTTGAAGAATAAGACACATGGTTGATTAATGTAGTTTATTATTACACAAAATCATAAATAATTCTCCTGAAGGACTTTTTAACAGATTTACACAATGTTACACTATAATTACTTACTCTGCATTGATCCGATATTTCCTTGCCAGTTCGCAGTCATCGGTTTTCTTTGCCATGGCAGTCATAAGCCCATAAGCTACCAGAGCTGCTGCCGTTGGTTCCTGGCCACACAACATCATAGTTGCCAGATTATTTAAAATGTTTTCCATTGTTGTTTTTTTAAAGTGATCATGACATCAAATACAACATTTAGAAATCTGTAACAATTACGTAAAACCCAATCTGACACTACAGACCCGGACAAAACCATGACAGTCTGCGTAAACCACTTCAGTCCCTGGGGACTCCTCAATACATCCCAAACACCATATAGCTCACCAAACATACTCAAAAACACAATATACATGAGCCAATAGTTGCCGTCTGGTACGTTACAAATTAGGGAATCTGGCATAAAAATATGAAGTGATTTATTTCAGAACAATGTGTTCAAGTTCAAGGGTCAAAGTGACCTTGGCAGTTAGGTTGTACTATATCTGTAAGATAGCCTACCTTTCCCTGTTTCCAGAAAAGTTTTGCCATGCCTTGCCTGTTTTGGAGTACTGCCCAAGTAAATAACTCTTGGTAAGGATTCTCAAAATCCTGTCTGTATTCATCTGGGGAAATACAAACAAAGACGTAGTTTTGTAAATTGACTGTGTATAAATGTTTATGAATGATAACAAGGACAAGATATATTGTAAATCAATAGACAATGTGAATATTTATATCTTATATTTCTATGTAAAAACATTGAATTCATGATTTAGTGCTGCTCATACATTATATGTATTTATAAAACATGAACATGATTAGAATATTTGTAACATATATAATGTATACATGTATATGTCATGAATAAGAAGTGTTTCCTCTTATGGACATAATTAGGATAGGGGAAGAAAAAGAGAGAAAGTAAATTGTATTGAAATAAAAAAAATGGAAACGCCTTAGACCTTAAGATATAAACTTATGAATAAACAAAAGCAGAGTTGAAAAAATGGGATCCCACCCCCCTTAAATGGAGAGTGAGGTGAAAGCATGAAAACTTTGGAAGGTTATAAAATTCCAACATGCAACATTTTGTTTGATATGACACATATCACCATCAAATCTATGATAATACACCTACCTACTGGGCCTGCCATGGCATTGCCCATAACAAGAGCAACACCAAGCATGCCATGTTTGAAGTTTGCCTCTGCTTGCGGTCGGCTCGACACACCATCCAGTTCCAGCTCAGCGTCTATGCGGGAGAAATATTCCTCTCTTAGGTAGAGAGGGATGTAGAAATCTCCCAGCAGGTACTGTAGCAGCATACCCACCTCCGTCAGACCTATATACTTCTCTTTCTGAAAACACAATAACAACCTGTTCACTACCATTGCCGTTTAACTCATTTACTCCTACATTTTTTAAATAGATTTGCCCAGCCTTTGATATAGTAAGGTTCAATTATGACTTTAGGGGTGAATGGGTTAGCAGTTGGTCCCAGAGTAAAACAATTATAGGACCGAGCTAGCGTACTGAAGAGCCAGTGTGATTTAGGTACCATATAGCTCTTATGGTTTACACTAATCTGGAACTGAACAATTAAAACTTGGTAAATAATTCTCATCTAATAAGAAATATGCAAAAATCAAGACAGGAGGTTTAATCAAAGTTTTCAGAATATAACAATAAAAAATAAACAACACCTGAAGAGAGAAGAATATGTCACACTTACATTGTCTGCCTTCTTTTTCATCTTTTGTAGTAATGTGTACAAAAGTGAGTTTTTCTGAACCTGTACAAATTGAAAATTTTAAAGAAAATACTAAATTATTTCTATAAAATTTATTAAAATAAATCGAAGATATTCTCATCTGATCATGATGGCATATATATATTTTAAAATCAAATTTGGACTTAATTGACATTTTGTACTAACTTGAGTCAAGAATTCTATTCACTTGTGGCTAACATAAAATATACAATATTTACACAGTATAAATTTGCAAAATCAGCAGAACCCTGTGTAATTGTTGAAATATGTTTATCATTTAAGATTGACAACTTTGTCGTTACGATATTGAGTATTCCGTCTTTGCGTATTGCAGAGTTATCTTCTCTTGGGAGCAGGTATTGATTGTTACGTCACTTGTTTGTGAGAGTAACATCATCGATTTTTGAGAAAACAATGTAATTTTCTCGCACAAACCAATGACGTAACAATCAATACCTGCTCCCAAGAGAAGATAACTCTGCAATACGCAAAGACGGAATAGAAAAGTTTACATACGGAGTTATAGAGCTGTAGCAGGACTTTGACTGTGAGGAAATCCTTCAGACTGACTCCGTTGTCAAGAAACATTTCAACAAAGTCCACACGGTTAAGGTCTATAGCTAACAGCATGATCTCATCCAGACTGCCCGACTGGAATGTAATAGTATATAGCTTTAATAGGGTACCAGTACATCATATCATCTAAAAACTGTATATAAAGAACAACTTTACTTCATGTAGTTATCACTCCAAACATCTATCAACTATATATGTCAACTGAAATATTTCGCAGTAAGTACTTGTACAATTTATTATATGATACAGCTTACATAAAATGCCTTTGAATCTTTTAGCCTATTTCAACGTCATGCAACTAACACATTCAAGCTTTAGTTTTTAATTTAATTTAATGTAAAATTAATTTAAGATAACCATAAATAAATAAAATTCAATCTGTGAACACAGAGAAATACTCATTGGATATTCTTACCGGCCATAATTTGTCATCTGTGAAGATTTCACTTTTGGCGATATCTATCCTATTCCAGGCCAGAGCTAGTCGGAGCTGGTGGAAGTCCTGTCCTTTGTTAGCTGAAAATTCAAACTTTCAGGGTTAGTTACATCTTATAAATTAAACAGCAAGATGTTCGAGTGTGCTGATCTTGGAAATTTTAAAATCTTCATGTTAACACCTTTATGTCCTGCAAAGGGGATGATATTACCTACAGCTTTAAATAATCCTGTTTTCATCCAAGTCAATCTTTCTAAATGGTTATAAACAATATTGACAGTCTGGTAAATTTGTGTCAATAAAACTTTTATTTTAAAGAGGTATCAATATTTGTACTGTATATTGGGAAAGTTTTGCCCAGTCAAATTTTTCACCCTTCGACATTAAAAACAATCTTCGATGAATACTATATATGTCCTTCACATTCAATTACTATCATGTCAATTATGTTGTTTACAAATGCTTGCTGTAATGATAAATTTGCCTTCATTAAGGATGGGGGGGGGGGGGGGGGGGGGGGGGGGGGATGTGAAAATCAAGCAGCAGCAAAAATTTCCTGTATTAACTGATACAATGGTAACACCCACCTTTGAGCAGGGCGTGTAGTATGGGAACATCAATGTCTTTCTGAGAGCCTATGGAGGTACTGAGTTTGAATACGTTGATGAGGTCACGCTTCTCCAGACAATCCTTCACCACACCACAGTTGTTGACAAGGTTCTTGGTACCGTACGCATCAAGTACCATCTCCTGTATTTGTGAGCTCAGGGCATCGTCAAACAGTGTTCGCATCCTGGCAATTACAATAAACTCATACTGTACAACAGGATATACATTAGCTGTATCTTTTTATTTATCTCTTAATTGTGGTAGCAGCAGAACCATTAATAAGTAGGACAATGCCTGTAAAACTGTTCTTTCATCTGAGGTATGTAAACCTTTTTTATCTCATTTCCCTGTGTGTAAGATAGAGCTGTCCAGCGTAAGAAAGGGGTGTAGGGAATTTCTATCTTACACCCCATTTCATGTGACGTGACGTCACAATGGCTCGACAATGATGTGACGTAACATCACAATGGCTCGTCAATGACGTGAGGTCACGAATTTGGAACTCTCCGATGCCGCAATGCCGAAAAGACGACGTGATGAAATTTAAAACCTTTTACGATATATTTCCTGAACACGTTAGAAAGATGCGATTAATTTTCATGCGCAAATTCTGTTTGCCTATATGGGATATGCTGGCTTGCTGATTCATTTTTGTCTAAAAAGCTCAGGGGGGGGATTGGTATTTTCAAAATGGTGGCCAGTCCAAACACATTTTTATGGTTTCTGAGCTTATTCTGGTGGTTGGAATGAGAGAAAAATACTCCTTCATGCCCAAGGGTGTAGGATAGGGAAATTCCACCCTGGGGTTTTTCAAATTTGGTAAAACCCTTGACAAAGTCTCCGGTTTTACCAAATGTGAAAACCCCTCGGGTGGAATTTCCCTATCCTACACCTCTGAGCATGAAAGAGTCTTATAATCTGTTGAATTCTATATTCAATGTCTTATGACACTCAATCATTTCTTTTTTTCAGTACATGTATTTTTCTTTTCTTTTTCTTTTCAAAGACAGCAGAACTTAACATACTGATAACAAATAGATTTTTAGGGGTTTTTCAAAGATTTTCAGATAAGCAACATGTCTACAATTTACTGATGTGTAAAGACACTAACTTGAGGAATGTATTGTGTGACTTACTGAGTTAGAATGTTTCCATCGTGATCTGTCACCTCTATTTCCTCTTCACCAGAGTTATTGTAAGCATAGGCCAAGATGTCTGCTGCTTTGCCAGATCCCTGAAATATCCAAATTGAGAAGTCAGTATTTAGCTTACAGTAACATATGTTTACACCCAATCTGAGGGAACCTAAGAAAATACTACATTATAAGTATAATTGGTTCACAGATGGATCATCCATCAGACAATTCCTTGCCACTGACCAAAGATATAGGACTTTGTAATAAGCAGTAATTCATAATGAGCTTATTCGTTTGTAGATTACATCCATCATTGTAAAAGATTAATAATTATTGAATATAATCAATCTCCTTTTTGTACAGAATTAATTGCTTAAATTAGAACCCTGTGGTATTGTGTGGTATGACATAATTAGATTCTTCTTGGCATTTTATATATTTGAGTCCTCTCATAATATCGTTACCCGCAACCCCTTGTGGTATTGTATACATCAGACCACTGGTGGTATTATATACCCATGGTATCATATATATTCGACCTCTCGACTATTGTATACATTCAACCTCTCATCAATTTTTATATACATACAACATCTCATGGTACATGTACTAATTTTATTATACAAAAGGCTTCCATGGTATTATATACATTCAACCTCTCATGGTATTTTTTACATCAGGATGGTATTATACACATAAGGCTCCAACAGCATTGCATACATTAGGTTTCTCACGTTAATGACACTGTGTAATATTTTGACACTCCATCTCTACCTCCACTCCAGTCTCTAGTGAGGGCAGTAGAGGTACCTACCTCAACCACTACATGTAACAATACTCAGTCTCTAGTGAGGGCAGTAGATATTCCTACCTCAATCACTACATGTAACAATACTCAGTCTCTAGTGCGGGCAGTAGATATTCCTACCTCAGCCACTACATGTAATTAACCCCACTTAGTCTCTAGTGAGGGCAGTAGAGATACCTACCTCAATCACTACATGTAACAATACTCAGTCTCTAGTGAGGGCAGTAGATATTCCTACCTCAACCCCTACATGTAACCCCACTCAGTCTCTAGTGAGGGCAGTAGAGATTCCTACCTCAACCACTGCATGTAACAATACTCAGTCTCTAGTGAGGGCAGTAGAGATTCCTACCTCGACCACCACATGTCACAATACTCAGTCTCTAGTGAGGGCAGTAGAGATTCCTACCTCAACCACTGCATGTAACAATACTCAGTCTCTAGTGAGGGCAGTAGATATTCCTACCTCAACCCCTACATGTAACCCCACTCAGTCTCTAGTGAGGGCAGTAGAGATTCCTACCTCGACAACTACATGTGCACTCTCAGTCTCTAGTGAGGGCAGTAGAGATTCCTACCTCAACCACTACATGTAACCCCACTCGGTCTCTAGTGAAGGCAGTAGATATTCCTACCTCGACCACTACATGTAACCCCACTCAGTCTCTAGTGAGGGCAGTAGAGATACCTATCTCGACCACTACATGTGCACCCCTTTCAAGTCTCTATTAGGCAGTAGATACCTAACTCAACCACTACATGTGTACTCTCTCAAGTCTCTAGGAGGGCAGTAGAGATTCCTACCTCGACCACTACATGTGCACTCGCTCAAGTCTCTAGTGAGGGCAGTAGATACCTAACTCAACCACTACATGTACACCCTCTCAAGTCTCTAGTGAAGGCAGTAGAGATTCCAACCTCGGCCACTACATGTGCACCCTCTCAAGTCTCTAGGAAGGGCAGTACAGATACCTATCTCGACCAATACATGTATACTCTCTCAAGTCTCTTGTGAGGGCAGTAGAGATTCCTACCTCGACCACTACATGTGCACTCTCTCAAGTCTCTAGTGTGGGCAGTAGATATTCCTACCTCGACCACTAAATGTAACCCCACTCAGTCTCTAGTGAGGGCAGTAGATATTCCTACCTCGACCACTACATGTACACCCTCTCAAGTCTCTAGTGAGGGCAGAACAGATACCTACCTCAACCACTACATGTGTACTCTCTCAAGTCTCTAGTGAGGGCAGTAGATACCTACCTCGACCACTACATGTGCACCCTCTCAAGTCTCTAGTGAGGGCAGTAGAGATACCTACCTCAACCACTACATGTACACTCTCTCAAGTCTCTAGTGAGGGCAGTAGAGATACCTACCTCGACCACTACATGTGCACTCTCTCAAGTTTCTAGTGAGGGTAGAACAGATACCTACCTCGACCACTACATGTGTACTCTTTCAAGTCTTTAGTGAGGGCAGTAGATACCTACCTTGACCACTACATGTGCACCCTCTCAAGTCTCTAGTGAGGGCAGTAGAGATACTTAACTCAACCACTACATGTGTACCATCTCAAGTCTTTAGTGAGGGCAGTAGAGATACCTAACTCAACCACTACATGTGTACCCTCTCAAGTCTCTAGTGAGGGCAGTAGAGATATCTACCTCAACCACTACATGTACACTCTCTCAAGTCTCTAGTGGGGACAGTAGAGATATCTACCTCAACCACTACATGTACACTCTCTAGTGAGGGCAGTAGAGATACCTACCTCAACCACTACATGTGTACCCTGTCAAGTCTCTAGTGAGGGGAGTAGAGATACCTAACTCAACCACTACATGTGTCCCCTGTCAAGTCTCTAGTGAGGGCAGGAGAGATACCTAACTCAACCACTACATGTGTACCCTCGCAAGTCTCTAGTGAGGGCAGTAGAGATACCTCCCTCAACCACTACATGTACACTCTCTAGTGAGGGCAGTAGAGATACCTAACTCAACCACTACATGTACACTCTCTAGTGAGGGCAGTAGAGATACCTACCTCGACCACTACATGTATACCCTCTCAAGTCTCTAGTGAGGGCAGTAGATACCTACCTCGACCACTACAATAGGTGTATTGTTATGGACGGCCTGTTTGACTGTCTGTAGTGTATTGGGACCTCCTTGTAACACTAGCAGTACAATGGGAACTGACACAGCATCTGCACAACAAACCATACAAATATTAATCATTAAGGAAAACCAACAGAGATTTCTATACATAGTGATTCTTAATTCAATTTTATTTCTTTACATTTGAAAAAAAACACTTATTCATTGTATTGTCATGAAATATTGATTGTTTTGGGGTGTTTTTTGAAACCCTTAAGTTTTTAATAAAAAGATGCATATTTTAAGCCAAATTAACATGTTTTTCTAGTATTGACATAATTTTACCTTTGCTAGCATCAGTTTTCATGTTGGCAACAGTTTGTTCCAGTTCAGCACGGAAAGGGATCTCCACACCGAAATTGTGCTGTGTTCCATTGTCCACCAGTATAAAATGGGTGTGATTGGGATCCAGACAACTCTCTCGAACCTTTGCCTCCTTCTCAATCCTGTATCGGGCTGGCCACTTCCCGTTACCCTGATATAAACACAACAAATTACAGGTTACTGTTCTAAGAAAAAAAGCATTATGATATCATTCTGCATATTCTATTAGTTTTTAAAGTATATTGAAATGCTTTCAAAAGTGCTAACCTTTCAAAACTTCACTCCAAGAGCCTTGAAAATATGTTTACAATGACCTGTATTTGACTAAATGATACTGTAGTGAAAACACCACTGCTTCAGTTGTTTCATATAATAATTCAATGATTGAATTTGAGCACACAGTTGAAAATAATGATGAAAAAGTTAAATGTCTACCTCAAAAATATCTGGCGACTGAGTGGCGAAGTATGTTTTCTAATATTGAAACTGTATTAATATCAATACATAAAACTTTCCGTCAAAGATATATGCATTCATACAGTATTACAGTATTATAGTCTGAGCCACTAGTACCAGACTTAGACCTTTATAGATAGGGATTACCTTTATAGAGCCACTAGTACCAGACTTAGACCTGTATAGATAAGGATTACCTCTATAGAGCCACTAGTACAAGACTTAGACCTCTATATATAGGGATTACCTTTATAAAGCCACTAGTACCAGACTTAGACCCCTATATATAGAGATTTCCTTTATAGAGCCACTAGTACAAGACTTAGACCTCTATATATAGGGATTACCTTTATAAAGCCACTAGTACCAGACTTAGACCTCTATATATAGAGATTACCTTTATAGAGTCAATAGTACCAGACATAGACCTCTATAGATAGGGATTACCTTTATAGAGCCACTAGTACCAGACTTAGACCTGTATAGATAGGGATTACCTATATAGAGCCACTAGTACAAGACTTAGACCTCTATAGATAGGGATTACCTTTATAGAGCCACTATTACCAGACTTAGACCTCTATAGATAGGGATTACCTTTATAGAGCCACTATTACCAGACTTAGACCTCTATAGATAGGGATTATCTTTATAGAGCCACTAGTACCAGACTTAGACCTCTATAGATAGGGATTACCTTTATAGAGCCACTAGTACCAGACCTACACCTCTATATATAGAGATTACCTATATAGAGCCACTAGTACCAGAGTTAGACCTCTATAGATAGGGATTACCTTTATAGAGCCATTAGTACCAGACTTAGACCTGTATAGATAGGGATTACCTATATAGAGCCACTAGTACAAGACTTAGACCTCTATAGATAGGGATTACCTTTGTAGAGCCACTAGTACCAGACTTAGACCTCTATATATAGAGATTACCTTTATAGAGCCACTAGTACCAGACCTAGACCTCTATATATAGAGATTACCTTTATAGAGCCACTAGTACCAGACTTACACCTCTATAGATAAGGATTACCTTTATAGAGCCACTAGTACCAGACCTAGACCTCTATATATAGAGATTACCTTTATAGAGCCACTAGTACCAGACCTAGACCTCTATATATAGAGATTACCTTTATAGAGCCACTAGTACCAGACTTACACCTCTATAGATAAGGATTACCTTTATAGAGCCACTAGTACCAGACCTAGACCTCTATATATAGAGATTACCTTTATAGAGCCACTAGTACCAGACGTAGACCTCTATAGATAGGGATTACCCTTATAGAGCCCCTTGTTCCAGACGTAGACCTGTATAGATAGGGATTACCTTTTTAGAGCCACTAGTACCAGACGTAGACCAGTATATATAGGGATTACCTTTATAGAGTCACTAGTACCAGACTTAGACCTGTAAAGATAGGGATTACCTTTATAGAGCCACTAGTACCAGACTCAGACCTGTATAGATAGGGATTACCTATATAGAGCCACTAGTACAAGACTTAGACCTCTATAGATAGGGATTACCTTTGTAGAGCCACTAGTACCAGACTTAGACCTCTATATATAGAGATTACCTTTATAGAGCCACTAGTACCAGACTTAGATCTGTATAGATAGGGATTACCTTTATAGAGCCACTAGTACCAGACTTAGACTGCTATAGATAAGATTTATCTTTAACCTCAGAAGTGGGTATTATTGACATACCCTTGCTCTTTTGTACTTACGTCCTTACTGACCAGCTCTTGCTTGTTCTGGATGACACCCCAGGTTGCTACGCCGATGGCAACAACAGGAGTGGATGATACAGAGGTTAGACCATAATCCCGCACAGCTTCCCCAACATGTTTCATTACCCCAGTGTTGGTTCCTCCGGTGATGATCCACGCACCTGAAACACACAGCACCCAATTGTAAACTACATGTATTATAATCTTCTCTCTCTTGTTATCTGGGTTTAATATGTTTTGGTATGACGTCGACAATGTTGAGTTAACGGTGAGTTAATGTCCTCCCAATAGCCAGAGTCATATGAGGTCGGACTGGATGAAAACTACAGTGTCACTCTAACTTAGCCCTAACACTTTAGAGATAAATTTCATGAGATTACTGAAACAAGAATTATCACTTTTTTGATAACACAAAAGTATATATGAAACAAAAAACAAAAAAAATAATTTAAGTGTCTAAAAGTTTTTTCATGGAGCTGGTTTCACTAGTGAGTTGACTCAGGCCTTCTCATTAATTTAGGACCAATTTTAAACAGATAATTCCCTGACTTTTATGTGATATATACCAGTAGTAGGCTTCCTTAATAAACATCAACCAAATGCAAAGTACACTGTACATCATTTGACCTTTAAAGTATATTGTTATGATATTAAGCTAAATCAATCTAGTTCCTGATCAGTCAAACCGTCACTGTAAGGACTAGACGAAACCTGTATAGTTTCTTGACTGTCTAGCCTATAGACAGCAGATACGTACAAAATCTGCCTTGTTCCTTGACTATCTATCTCTCATGAACTAGAACATCTGACTCATAGAAAATCTGTATCATTCCTGATCTGTTTTATCCTCAATAATGGGACAAGAAATCTAAAATCTGATCAATCAGTCTGCAGTATATAAATAGCACATTTTTGCTCAATGTCTGAAGCCTTATATTCTTAATATGTTAAAGATGCTGAGCACATTTTATCAGCATCTGACAGTGAATCAGGAAGGGACGGAATAGATATAGGTTTAACACTATCACCCACTCCCCATAAAAGCCCACGAAGATGTTACTCAGAGTTATTTTCCAGTGCAGGAACTCTATAGGTCCTTTCCGCTGGACTCGATCATTGTATCACACCGAACTTAAAGTCCAGCCACTTTTAATCGATGCTCTAAAGTAATATATTTCCTGATTTTTCCAGCATTTATCTAGCCTATTCTTAAACGAATTTAGGGATCGTGCGTTTTAAAAATTATTCCAAATATTCACCACTCTGACTGTAAAATACTTCTTTCTTTTAGATGTTACAGTTTGTTGTTGATATATCTTAAATGAGTGGCCTCTACTGCTGTTTATGTATTCCTCCATCTTCAACCAAGCGGTGACCTTGACCCTTAAACCCTTAAACCTTGACCTATTATCAACAAAATATAATCAAGTGTACATCTCAATGTTACCATACTATGATGTCAGTATAAACCAAATCCAGAGAGGGATTCATGAGACATGTTGTACACAATCTCATTTCTATAAATGGAAGGAATAGTGTACAGACTGACAGCAGTACTAGATTTACCTCCCCTGTTTAGGTACCGTTGGGATATAATTACTTCTCCAGACCATTCTATGACACCCTAATCAATACTATTTAATGTGCAACTGATTTTGTAACCAAGCAACCCTATTAGACAGAAAGGAATCATAAATATCATTAAGGCTGGTGATATAATACCTTTCCCATAATTAGGCTTAGGCTACATCTGGACTGAAAACACCAACATATTCTGCATTATCCATTGTGATACTGACTCACAAATTAAATGCAAGACCTGACTGCCTGATAAAACCCTGTACACACACAGGAATGCTGATTTACCTGTAAATAATTGATGTTGCTATTTCTAACACTTTACGTGACTTTTTTGATGATTCCACACAGCTGCTTCAAGCACTGTATGCTGCTTATATATTTATTCAACGATGCAGGGATAATGATTCGACTACCGCCACAACCTAACAATTCAGTGTCGGCAATACAGTATGTAGCATTATAACAGCCAATGATATTCATAGCTCTATGTTTGCCATTGCTGTTTTGTTAGTTTTTTAAAAGTTGAATTAAAGCCAATGTACAGTATGTAACATCAGCCTCAGTATCATCAACAAGGTGTTACATTTATTAGTTGTAAGATGCATGTGTATTATATTTATTATTATTTATTTGATGTAAGATGTATGTGTATTATATTTATTATTATTATTATTTATTTGATGTAAGATGTAAGTGTATTATATTTATTATTATTATTATTTATTTGATGTTAGATGTATGTGCAATGCATGTAATGCTGTATGAGGTCATTTCAACTTAACAAAAGAAGTCCAGCACAAGTATAGAACTTGTTGGGCTTTTTATAATGAAGCCTGATTTGATGAATGATACAGCTAGGAAAATATTTTGACATCCATATTGCTAGTTACAAATTTTACTTGGAGACTATAATCAGTGTATTTTTTTCTTTCACTATTAAACCTCTATACTGTCTACATGAAACCAAGGACTTAGATCACAATCTAATTCCGTGATGAAACTAAAACACAATTTGCCAGTCTTTTGAAGTTTGGATTAACCCAAAAAGTAATTAAGAACAACATGCTAGGACTTCGTAAGGAGGGGAATATTTGTACCAAGTTTGTCAATAGCTACAACAGTTCTTGAATAGAAGTTGAAATGTCTCAGCCAATCAAAGGCTACATCATACTTTTGCTAGGAACTTGTAAGGAACTTTTGTACCATGATGGTACTTCTACATTACCGTTTCAAAAATTTCAAAACAAGAAATTAACCAGAGATCCAAGAGGGATCTTGGCGCCCACCTTTGTACCATCTTCATTTGTTCTTTGTCAGTTCAATCTTTTCTCTTCTTTCCTCTAATCTGTTTGATCGAGTCATGTTAACAGTAAATGCACCTTGAGGTAACTATTGAGGCATAAAATTTTAAAAAGATCCTTCAAGTACTTCCGGAGAAATAGAGATAACAAACTTTCACTATCAAAATCCAAGATGGCTGCCTGTCGGCCATGTTGTTTATCCAATTAGTCTCTAAAATTGCCCTGCACAGCTAGGACCAAGGGGAACCTACATATAAAATTTGAGAAAGATCCCTCTGGCACTGCTTGAGAAATACTGATAACAACAATTGTTTAAGGACGGACCACGGACGCAGGGTGATTTGAATAGCCCACCATCAGTAAAAGGGTCACTTCAGGATTTCAATATATAAACTCTCTATAAATGAACAACCTATGCACATTATGGTGTTTATAAGGTAGCAGGAGATAGATAAAAAAAAAATAGAGCTTGGAATATGAGTTTTCGGTTTACTAGAACTTTTCTTTAACTTTCCAGAAATATATTGGAATTTCATTAAAACTGCTCTCATTTCCTTACCTGTGCTCTTAGCAACCTTCATCAAGCCTCTGCGGAACACCTCCTTGAGCCTCGTTGTCATATGGAAGTTTTTAGCACCCCCAGTCACAGAAATAAGAAGGTTGGGTTTATCAAGGCCCCAAATATCCATCATCAACTTTAGCATGTCATTTGTCTTGGTTTTAACATCCACACGCACATACTGCAATCAAGGGGAGAACACTACTGTAAATCACATATACAACAACATGCTCCGATGGAGCCTGAATTTTCCACTTGGTTTTTTTCTCATTTGAACAACATTTCGACAATTTGGGACCATGGTAGTAATCTTGGATTTCATAATAAGTCAAATAATTCAAATAACAAGTCTTAATAGTTTCATACATATATTCATTTTTTGCAAATTTTGCAGTTTGTTGTATTCTTTTGAATATTATACCTTTCTTTCCGTCTGACCATAACCAACAAACTCCACCTCTCCGAAGGCATCTGTCGGTAGGGAATAGGTGTTGGTGTCCACCTTCCAGCTGTCTGACGGGAAGCCATCATGTGGGCGTGTATGAGGGTGGGCTGACATGGGATACCCACATTGACACAATGCATCATTGCTAACAGGCACCCTAAAACAGCACACTTAGGCAAATGAAGAACCATTTTTGGACCTTGGATAAAAACATTCAATATTTTTCTGGATGCATGATGAACAATGTACTTCATTGTCCTAAAGTGTGTTTTGCCACACATATCAATAATTTAACTTAAGTAGTACTTTTTTTCTTGATGACTCGGCTAATGCCATTTTAATTTTTTGATAACAAGTATTTTAAGACATTAATGGGGCTGGTCGGGGAAAAAAATACAAAATAAATGGGTCTAAATGCGTTCTCTGGCCTTCCAAAAGTTATACCAGGGCAATATGATGGTCGAGTTCTTCTTGCAATGTCCAGTTTTGACCACTGAAATCTCGGGGAAGCCATGCGTAAATTTAACGCAGATCTATTTATATATGTCACGTGGTTGTTTCGAAAGTGAGGCAGTGAAGATAACAACAACAGCACGCCGTCATGTGCCATGTTGGACTCAACTAGCGGACAATTAAGACAGCAATACTATACGTAAATAATTGTTTTCAAAGTTCATGTATGATGCAAGTGTAGTATTCCTACCTATATGTTGTTGTTATATATAACAATATTGATACCCCGTGCCTGTCATGACTTTTGCTGGCATCTTTTTCTTTCGCCCCGATGTTTACATCTGGCCTTGTTGATGATGCGCGTGCGGTAAAATTACATCACTGATCTTGGTCAATTGAGAGTTTTAGACTGTCAGATGACGATTTAGGATTTCTTTAATATAATTATAATTTTTACTCTTAGGGACTGAATTTCAGCAAAATTTGAATGGGTATATTTCATAAGAAGGTATTTCAAACATGTGTATGCCATTTTAGCAAATATGACATTTTTTCCCCGACCTACCCCTTTAAGGGAATATATTGGTATTAATTGGACATTTGACGTTTTTGTACATTTGCCATATTGGCTCGAAGATCGAAGTAATTCATTTCACAACCTGTAGGAAAGTTATATAACCAAATCTGTTTGCTACTTGGAATTCAAGGGAAAGATATTTATGTCTTAGTTAATAAAACTGAATGAAATTTGGAGAAAACTTATAACATATGGAATAAGTATCTATATTCATATGTATTTGAAAATCTTGTGCACATGTTACACACTCAAATTTGGAGGTTAATCTTTGGTATTGGTTAAGTGACACCGTGGAAAATGAACTACCCTATCATTGATTTGATTATACGTGAAAATGTATAGGGTCTTCTTCCCAACACTCTGGGTTTACTACAAGCACTCTGGTCCAACCCCACATTTACAAACCCAAGGGCACACATCCATGTAGGCTAATAAGAGTATTTCATACAAAAGGAAAATAAGCCTTGTTTCATAACTGCTATAAAAGAACTAAAGTCTATATTTTCTTATAGCGACAAATCATGAAATCGCATGCCATGTAATGTCCTTTGTTAAAAGAGTCTGTGTTCCATAATTAAGTGTGTGTGTGTGTGTGTGTGTGTGTATGGTAAAGCTACAAACATAATACCTGTATAGCTTACTAAAGTAATCATTTAATGCATAATACATGGCTGTACCACACAACCCAGATGTGTCGCTTCTTAAGTAATCATTTAATGTATAATACCTGTCTGTCCCACACAACCCAGATGTGTCGCTACTAAAGTAATCATTTAATGTATAAGACATGGCTGTACCACACAACCCAGCTGTGTCACTTCTAAAGTAATCATTTAATATATAATCCATGGCTGTACCACACAACCCAGATATGTCGCTTCTAAAGTAATCATTTATGGCTAATACCTGGCTGTACAACACAACCCAGATGTGTCGCTTCTTAAGTAATCATTTAATGTATAATAAATGGCTGTACCACATAACCCAGATGTGTCACTTCTAAAGTAATCATTTAATATATAATCCATGGCTGTACCACACAACCCAGATTTGTCGCTTCTTAAGTAATCATTTAATGTATAATACCTGGCTGTACCACACAACCCAGATGTGTCACTTTTAAAGTAATCATTTAATGTATATTACCTGTCTGGACCACACAACCCAGATGTGTCGCTACTAAAGTAATCATTTATGGATAATACCTGGCTATACCACACAACCCAGATGTGTCGCTTCTTAAGCAATCATTTAATGTATAATACATGGGGGTACCACACAACCCAGTTGTGTTGCTTCTAAAGTAATCATTTAATGGATAATACATGGCTGTACCACACAACACAGATGTGTCGCTTCTAAAGTAATCACTTAATGTATAATACATGGCTGTATCACACAACCCAGATGTGTCACTTTTAAAGTAATCATTTAATGTATATTACCTGTCTGGACCACACAACCCAGATGTGTCGCTCCTAAAGTAATCATTTAATGTATAATAAATGGCTGTACCACACAACCCAGACGTGTCGCTTCTAAAGTAATCATTTATGGCTAATACCTGGCTGTACAACACAACCCAGATGTGTCGCTTCCAAAGTAATCATTTAATGTATAATACCTGGCTGTACCACACAACCCAGATTTGTCGCTTCTTAAGTAATCATTTAATGTATAATACCTGGCTGTACCACACAACCCAGATTTGTCGCTTCTTAAGTAATCATTTAATGTATAATACATGGCTGTTCCACACAACCCAGATGTGTTGCTGCTAAAGTAATCATTTAATGTATAGTACATGGCTGTACCACACAACCCAGACGTGTCGCTTCTAAAGTAATCATTTATGGCTAATACCTGGCTGTACAACACAACCCAGATGTGTCGCTTCTAAAGCATACATATGGGTTGTGTGGTACAGCCATGTACTATACATTAAATGATTACTTTAGATGTGTCGCTTCTAAAGTAATCATTTATGGCTAATACCTGGCTGTACAACACAACCCAGATGTGTCGCTTCTAAAGCAATCATTTAATGTATAATACATGGCTGTTACCCACAACCCAGATGTGTCGCTTCTCAAGTAATCATTTAATGTATAATACCTGGCTGTACCACACAACCCAGATATGTCGCTTCTAAAGTAATCATTTATGGCTAATACCTGGCTGTACAACACAACCCAGATGTGTCGCTTCTTAAGCAATCATTTAATGTATAATACATGGCTGTTACACACAACCCAGATGTGTCGCTTCCAAAGTAATCATTTAATGTATAATACATGGCTGTTACCCACAACCCAGATGTGTCGCTTCTCAAGTAATCATTTAATGTATAATACCTGTCTGTACCACACAACCCAGATGTGTCGCTTCCAAAGTAATCATTTAATGTATAATACCTGGCTGTACCACACAACCCAGATATGTCGCTTCTAAAGTAATCATTTATGGCTAATACCTGGCTGTACAACACAACCCAGATGTGTCGCTTCTTAAGCAATCATTTAATGTATAATACATGGCTGTTACCCACAACCCAGATGTGTCGCTTCTCAAGTAATCATTTAATGTATAATACATGGCTGTACAACCCAAGGGCACACATCCATGTAGGCTAATAAGAGTATTTCATACAAAAGGAAAATAAGCCTTGTTTCATAACTGCTATAAAAGAACTAAAGTCTATATTTTCTTATAGCGACAAATCATGAAATCGCATGCCATGTATTGTCCTTTGTTAAAAGAGTCTGTGTGCCATAATTAAGTGTGTGTGTGTGTGTGTGTGTGAGTATGGTAAAGCTACAAACATAATCCCTGTATAGCTTACTAAAGTAATCACTTAATGCATAATACATGGCTGTACCACAAAACCCAGATGTGTCACTTCTAAAGCAATCATTTAATGTATAATACATGGCTGTTACCCACAACCCAGATGTGTCGCTTCTCAAGTAATCATTTAATGTATAATACCTGGCTGTACCACACAACCCAGATATGTCGCTTCTAAAGTAATCATTTATGGCTAATACCTGGCTGTACAACACAACCCAGATGTGTCGCTTCTTAAGCAATCATTTAATGTATAATACATGGCTGTTACCCACAACCCAGATGTGTCGCTTCTTAAGCAATCATTTAATGTATAATAAATGGCTGTACCACACAACCCAGATTTGTCGCTTCTTAAGTAATCATTTAATGTATAATACATGGCTGTTCCACACAACCCAGATGTGTCGCTTCTAAAGCAATCATTTAATGTATAATACATGGCTGTTACCCACAACCCAGATGTGTCGCTTCTAAATTAATCATTTATGGATAATACCTGGCTGTACCACACAACCAAGATGTGTCGCTTCTAAAGTAATCATTTAATGGATAATACATGGCTGTACCACACAACCCAGATATGTCGCTTCTAAAGTAATCATTTATGGCTAATACCTGGCTGTACAACACAACCCAGATGTGTCGCTTCTTAAGCAATCATTTAATGTATAATAAATGGCTGTACCACACAACCCAGATATGTCGCTTCTAAAGTAATCATTTATGGCTAATACCTGGCTGTACAACACAACCCAGATGTGTCGCTTCTTAAGCAATCATTTAATGTATAATACATGGCTGTATCACACAACCCAGATGTGTCACTTTTAAAGTAATCATTTAATGTATATTACCTGTCTGGACCACACAACCCAGATGTGTCGCTCCTAAAGTAATCATTTAATGTATAATCCATGGCTGTACCACACAACCCAGATGTGTCGCTTCTAAAGCATACATCATGTTTGATAAACACCTTTTTTTCTACTTGGCGCATGACTTAAATTATTTACTTTAAAGCCAATAAAGATACATTATATAGGTAGGTGTTAATGAACGGCTGAAGCAGCAAGGGCTCGTAGTGTTACATAGCAACTTGTTCATGCTATACAACAAAGACCTCCTGATATATGAGTTATGTCTGTGATAAAAGTGCATGAGATCACAATTTGAAAATTCAGATGATTTTTGTACATTTTAAAAAATGTGTGGCCATGGCTGGAATTTGTTGCAGTTGACCTTGAAACCTATAGTTAGTTTATTTATAACTTTTAACA